GCCTGCGCCGCGGGCGGCTGCTACCCGGCCACCGGGACCCTGCTGGTGGGGCGAGCCCCCCGCCTGAGTGCCACCTCCACCTGCGGGCTGGATGGGCCCCAGGAGTACTGCATCGTCAGCCACCTCCAGGTGAGCCCACCTGCTCCTGGCACAGCCCTGGCATGGCCCCAGCACGGCCAGGCACCAGTGCAGCCCCCAGCTGCCCATCCCTGATGGTGCCGCTCCCCGGCACAGGACTCGGAGAAATGCTTCACCTGCGACTCGCGGGACCCGTCCCTGCCTGAGAGCCATCGCATCGAGAACGTCATCTACCTGAGTGGCCCCCATGGCCAGCGGACCTGGTGGCAGTCGGAAAATGGTGAGGCCAGGGTGGCACTGGGCTAGCTCCCATGTGCGTGTGCTTCGGGGCTGCGTGGCCATGGGGCCCAGGGGGGTCTTCTCCAGCCTCAGCCGTCACCTCTCTGTCCCACCAGGCGTGGAGCATGTCAGCATCCGCCTGGATCTGGAGGGCGAGTTCCACTTCACCCACCTCATCATGAAGTTTAAGGTGTGTCCTGGCACATGGGTGCTTGGGATGGGGTGGGATGGGACAGGACGGACCCATGGGGTCTGCGGGGCCGGCCCCCATCCCAGCTTGGTGTCCTGCAGACCTTCCGTCCTGCGGCCATGCTGGTGGAGCGCTCAGCAGACTTTGGGCGCAGCTGGAAGGTCTACCGCTACTTCGCCTACAACTGCTCCAAGCTCTTCCCCGGGATCCCCAGCCAGCCGTCGGGGCTGGTGGACGAGGTGCTGTGTGACCAGCGCTACTCCGAGATCGAGCCCTCCAGCCACGGGGAGGTGCGTGGGGCCACGGTGGCGCGGAGCAGGGCTGAGGGTCTGAAGGGTCTCGATCACCCACCCCTTCCTCCCCCCAGGTCATCTTCAAGGTTCTGGACCCCTCCATCCCCGTGGCAGATCCCTACAGCCCGGACATCCAGGGTGCGTGCCTGGGGTTGCCGGGGCCACAGGGCCGATGGGGCGGGTGC